CTTCACTCCGCTACAGTACTCATTAATCGCCAGGCAACAAATTGCAAATGGATATTTTTGTTTGCTGCTCATTTCCGGACTGGATTGAATCGAATGGGGGATTGCGTTTGAGATGGGATTGGGGGTGTCATAGACGTGACTAGTTTATTGATTGAGATGGAACTTTGCTGATGGGTGGTGCACTGTACTCCTACTCCTATTCCTGCTCCTGCTCGTACATAAATTAATAATAATATCGGAAAGGAGTCAGTAACAATTTGCTTTGCTCTGCAAAAGCCAGCGAGAAGCGCTCTCCAGGACCAACTAAAAGTCAAACACCCGCTGCTACCCACGACTACGTGTTGGCCATTTTGACGTCGTCGTCGTCGTCGAACCTTTTGGCCATATAAAATTCCAATCATACTTGACCAGAAGCAAAAACACTGGAGAATTTCTACGCCAAAAGCGAAAAGCTCTGGCAGAAAGTCAGTGGAAAACAGGAAAACAGAAAGTTAAGTGAAGTGGAGGACGCTTAAGCCAAAAAGCATTCGAGCGGGGGGCGCAGGGCTTACAGTTACGGTTACGGTACAGTCAGCAGAATTGTGTGCTACACTTTTGGCCAATAACCGGCCGCCGCCTGCTCTCGAATACCCTCAAAGCATGAGAGTATGCCACCAGTTCGGGGCACACACATAATTCATATGTGACCTTTACTGTTTAAGGTTCTTAACATTGATTTAGACTCCGAAAAGAATCATAATTACTTCATGGTATTCCGTTTGTGGAGAGAGCATTCCCAGTTTCAAGTTCCAGTTCGCAGTTTCCTCAAGTCAACCTCTATTTTCCTTTTCAAGTTGCAGGTTACTTGCTAACTTTAGACCCCAAACCAGACTGCCAAATGGTGCCGTCCCGTCCCGCTCAATACTTATTTGTGTTCTGGGGCTTATTGCCAGCGAGCAGAAGTGAACACAGTTTTCGACAGATTTTGAGAAAATAGTTGCCGACTGCACAAGGTACGAGTGAAATGCATTCAATGCTCCCCGAGCTTCACTTTTGCGGTTTGCCTGCCTTGGGGGCCGCATTGAGTCAGTCGGTGCAAAGGCAGTTGGGAAAATTCCTTTTCACTTTTCAAACGTTAACCTTTAAACACTTCCCGGTAGGGGGCAGCCGAGGGGCTTGGGGGTGCTGTGCTGGACCAATGGGGTATGGAGTGTAGGGGGCTGTGGGAGGGGGAACTGGCCAGTTGTCACAGCTTAATCGATTCGGAAAAAGTTGCCATGTCGTGTGCTGCTCGCATACTACTTTATTTTTACGCACCATTTGTTTCCCCCTGCACAATGCATTGTGCTTTTGGAAAATGGGGAAATTCGGAAAATCCGCTGTTCGTTTTTTTCATGTCCCCTTCCCCCCACCAACGTTCTGGCCGTATCCAATGATAAACTTTCGACACATTTTTCATTTATTTTCAACACCTTTGATTGATATATTGAACACTTGGCGCAGCCCAACTTAAGCAACAGTCCTTGGGTGTCCTTGCTTCCTGTATTCCTCTCGGCCCTTTGCTTCTGCTCTCTATTGCTCCTTCCTTCTTGTTCTTCCTTTTAGGGGGTGTTTATATGGCGGAAGCTCGCGTCAGCTGGCAGACATTGTCCCGGGCATCATTTCCAGCGGATGTTCGAGTCGTGGCAGTAGCTGGAGCTGGAGCTGGGGCTGGAGCTGAAGCTCGGGGGCCATCCATGTCAAACGCTGTGACAAAGGTGGAAGCTCTCTTCCTGGCTGAGAGCTGGCTTATAGTTTAAATTGAAGTGTGTCCTGCACTTCCTTTGAGCAGAGCATCTTGAGCATTTGATCTACCTCAATGTGGGGATGATGGATGGGTGGATGGATGGATGGATGGCTGGTCCAGGACCATAGAAATCTACTATTTTATTTGATGCCACATTCTTTGGGAAAGCAATCTGCCTTGTGCACAAAACTTGACAACAATTGGCCCATAAATAAACAAATATCATTAAACTAAAGCAAGTGTCTTGTAGTCTCGTATTCCTGGTGCTCCGGGTACATATAGAATGCCATTCAGGCAATTGCTCGACCAGCAACAGTCAACTGAACAAAACCAAAAGATATGCCAAACTATGGCCAAAGTGGCAGACGCGGATGACAACGGGGAAGGCGGAGAAGGAGCAACTTTTCATAAACATTATTAACAATTATTGTTGTTAGCAGAAGTTGTCTGAATGGGGCTGCCTGCCTGCCTGAATGGGCGGATTCTGGTTGGATACTGGCTTCCAGGATGCTCTCTTGTCGCGTGCAGCTAACAAAGTCCTTCTGCTGCTGCTCCTTTCTACTGCTCCTTCTGCCTCCTGGCAAAAGTTATAAGCACGGCCAAAAGTTGATAAGAATGAGCCATAGACGTCGTAAGGCAGCCACTTTTGGCCTGAAAGAGAGGCAGTGGGAGTGGGAATGGGAATGGGAGTGGCAGCGAGTTCTTAACACGGCCAAGCTTTGTGCATTTTTTATAAACTAACGCCCTAAAACGTGAAAAAAGAGCTGAGAGAACACAGTAACAATAGCGGTGGGGGTCTGGAGAAGCGTGTGCCATGTCTGGAGTTAGTTAAAGGCTCCTAGCGATGAGTGCGTGAGTGCCAGAGCATTATTTAGCAGGTAAAACATAATGCAATTTAATAGAATTAATTTTGATTTAAACATTTTCAAATGCAAGTGTTAGTAATAAAATGGCAGCGCTTGTTGCTCTGGATGTAGAGATTTTCAGAGACATTTCGGGGCCAATTTCAATGGGCGACATTGTGTTAGCCGCATGCACTAATAAACAACTAACCAACTGGACTTGCTTTTTGACTTTCCTATCGATTCGAGGCTGTCATCTCTAGTTGGAAAGCCTCCTGCAGGTTGCTATATTCCTCATCTTGATTATTGTTGTTGCTGCAACAGTTTTTCGGCATTTTTTTTACCGACGCTAAGCAGACAGTTATTGTTGTTGTCGCTACTTGCACATACTTCAAATAGTCTTACAGAAGTTGCACTATTCGCTGCTGCTGCCTTCGTTGCCGCTTTGGGGAAAGTTCGTAAAGTTGCGACGAAAAACGCCCACAGGTTGGCCGCGTTCAGCGTTGCTCATACGCCATGTTGCATGCTGCAGAGAGGTGAAGAAGAAGGCAGAGGGGGAGCGCCAGCGAGACGGAGGGAAACTTCATCTTCTTGTTCCTTTTTTTTTTTGGGGAGTGAATGAAGGACTGAGCCATGTCTCGCCCTTGTCTCGGGCCCCGCAAAAGTTGAAAGCATTGCACGAAAGTTTAATTGAGAAAGTTAAGGAATTTCAATTAACTGTGGATATTTGTTATTTTTATTTGGGGGATGCCGGGGAACCTATTCCTGCTAGTCCTGCTTCAGGGCCAGCCAGGACTGGGAGTGCCGGTCCCGGCCCTGGTCCTGGTCCTGGTCTGAGCTCTAGCATTTTTTGGCCAAGTATTTTGTGTGTTGAGTCATGTGTGCTATTGGCTGGCAAGTTTTTCCTGCCATCGCCCAGTCGTTTTTTGTTTTTTTTTTTGTAGCTTAATATCCCATTAAGTGGCAGGGAGCTGGAGTCTATTAGCCAGCTGCTCTTAGCTCATTTAATTTGGGTGCGGAATGGGGCCTGAAACTGTACCTGATAGCCGATGGACTCTCGTTCGGTTTAATGTGGCTTCTCATTGCTATTGCTCTGCTGGCCATGTGCCAGCCTCTGAACGAGACTCGGCACTCGACTCTGCTTCATCCAGCCGTTCTCAACAAATTCAAACCAGCTAAGCCCTTAATCAACCGACTGCAGACAATGTTGGCATTTCCTTTTTTTTTTGTGGGGCCCTTTGTTAATCGCATTAATTGCACTTAATTGAAACTACAATCTGCTGCTGATTCTCAGTCGGCTTTTGGCAAAGATTTGTGGCAGAATGTTGCAGTCCATCAATCAATCAGTACCCCAATCATTTGCAAATTGCCATCTTCAACGATTGGCCCCCACCTGGGCCTTGGCTTTAGCCTTGTGTTCGGCGTTGACAAGTCATGTACGAGGAGGTGGAGGTCCTGTCCCCTGATGCCCCTAACGCTCTCGATTGCCTGCTTCTGCTGCTGCTGCTGCTGCTGTTGTTTAATTATTGTTCGCGTTGCTCTTGGCTTACCAATATACCGTTAACCGCTAACGAGTTAAGTGCTTTGTATGCCCGCTGAGCCTCAACCGCAGCCCACTGCTGAAGCAGGCGTGGCACCGCCCAGGGCGGGGCAGGGCCCAGAGCCAAAGCTGACATATCCTTGATGAGTTCTGTTGACCAAAGTCATTACATTGCGAATGTTGAATGATGAGAGCACCTTCGCCGTCGCCGTCGCCTCCGCCACCGCCTAACCACCGCCACCCAACCCACCATTGACCCAAATCCCACATCGCTGCTCTTTGTGGGTCGGTACGGGAACGTGCTTGGGCTGGGGGTTGGGGGAAGCCAAAGGAATTTAAATGTTGCGGTGATGGCGGATAATGTGATTGAGGCCAATTGGGTGGCAGCCACAGTCTAAGGCGCTTAATCACAATGAATTGATATCGGATATCATCCATACACATGCCCGAAATTACAGAGAAACAAATCAAGCGATTTGCCCCGATTATTCTAGAAATATTTTGGCGCATTACGTTGCCGGCACGCAAACATATTTATGTGCTGCAGGTGTTTGTCCATCGCTCAATATGTTTACTCCCTGCAAAAACTGCCAATCGAACGTAGCATGCAACAAATATGTAGACAGTAGAATCTCAGAAATTATAGCCACATTGTTCCTGGGGTGGTTCTGTGACAGCGGGTGTAGGCTGTGAAGGATCCTAGATTTTTCAAAGATTTTATCTTTGTTCTAACTATCATCATGTCAGCAAAAATTAAAGAGAAACTCACACTTTGAGATACACGAAACGAAGTTTTTAAAATTTCAAGTTCTTTGTTTGTTTTTATATTTATAAATTATATCTAAGTATGTTTAATAGTTTTATTTTATGGTTTATGCTTCTATATGGCTACTCGCACCGCCCTCCTAATCTATGTACTGCCCCCAACTTGGCTCACCCGCGGGTTCATGGGTCCTTCCAAGACTCTTGCTGTCGTCTGTCGCGTGGCGGTCGCTGGTCTCCTCGACCCGATCGACCTTCCGACTCTCGATGATCTCCCTGTGTGTGGGTGGCCAGAGAACTTCTCAAACATCCGATAAACTTAAATATCTCTTCTCATTCAAAAAATCAAGTGCTTAGTGTTTCAGCTGTCCAGTTCGTTCTATTTACTCGCACTGGAAAACACAGCACTGTGATCTGGTTTTCCCCAAAACGAGTACGAGTACGAGTAATACTGTGTGTTCCAGAAAATAAAATAGTTATAAAATATGGCTAACGAAGAGGAAGAGCCGGAGGTCCTGTCCTGGCCAAAGAAGTTTCTTTTGATATTATGGAAAAATATATGTGTGCTGTTGGGACGCAAATGCCAGTTGGCTTGTTTAATAATAATTTCTCTTTTAATACCGCTGGTGCCCTTGATAGTGAGGACTGAATCCTCAGCAATCATTCCAGATGAATTTTTTAACCCCAAGGATGAATAGTAAGTACTATGTAGTAACGAAGTAACGAACCACTTCTTATTGAATAAAAGTATATAATATTGGGTTCATTGATGGCTACACACAGCGGATTAATCCTTTGTTACTCGCCGCAAAATCCAATTCTTGACATGATTGTCAGAGGGGAACCCACCGTTCCCTCTGTTGAATCTGACGAAACTTTGATCTATGTTGAGGGCTTTGTCGATGCCAAGGCCTTGGAGGAAACGCTCGAAAAAAATATCACGTACAGGGGTGGGTTCGGTATAGAGTTTCCCGAGGAGTGGTCCGATATAACCGAGGTGCCGCAAAGATTCCGGTTTGCTCTGCGCTTTCCCGTTAGCAGCGCAGAGCATTTTAGTGTGAATCTCCTGATATCACAGAACACAGTACAAAGGAAATACCAAAGAAGTGGCTTTCTGCTTCTTCAGACGAAAATCAGCCTACGGTATCTGCAGATGAAGAATACGACTCAAAATGTGAGTCCACCAACACTCGAGAAACTATATGAAGATGTAGAAATGAAACTAGAAGTTTTTTTTGTTATATTATTAATGTGTGTGTTCCTATGCCCGTTTACATTGGACGTTAAGGTAAGACTGAGCTGTTCTTCAGGCAGTCCTCTAACCGTTCCACTTTGCAGAACATTGTCGAGGAAAAGGAGCTTCAGCTGAAGGACATGTTGAACATCATCGACGTAAGCAACTCGCTCCAATGGCTGGCCTGGTATGTCAAGTCCATGATAGTTTTATTCATAGTATCGCTTATTATTACGATTTTTTGGACGGGGATCGATCTGCCCACCTCCGAGTACGGAGGACCTTTTACCGGAATGCCCGCTCTCCCGCACACCGACTGGTCGGTCTTCCTGTTCTATCTGCTTGTGTGCAGCCACTGTTTCATATGCTTTGGCTTCCTGGTCAGCTCCTTCTTTGCGCGCAGCAACTGGTGTGGCATCATTGCCGCCCTTCTGTTCATAGCCAGCTCTTTGCCCAATTTTGTCACTGACCATGACAGTACTGGGACGCTGGTGAACATGCTGTGCAGCATTTTCGTTGTGTCGGCCATGAACATGGTCATGGATCGCATTAACCTATGGGAGCAGGCGGGCCTGGGCCTGCAGTGGGGCAATCTCTTTGAGACGTCGTGGCTCCGCGACAGCATAAGCGTGGGGGCGATCCTAACGATCATGCTGCTGTTCAGCCTGATCTCGGTCCTCATCTGCCTGTACATGGAGCGGGTGAGGCCTGGGGAGTTTGGCACGCCACAGCCGTGGTATTTCCCGTGCACCAAGCACTTCTGGTGTCCGGCCAAGCACACTGTCCGACGAGCACTATCCCCGCCCGGGCTCTTCCCTGTCCAACCCAATGACGAGGAGCGACCTTCGGGTCAGTTCGTGGAAGGTAAGCCCTCCAAGTTCGTCGATGCCAGCGCCAAAGGCAAAACCCCTGGTGTACAAATCAAAAATCTCAGCAAAAGCTTTGGCAAGCGACAGGTGGTCGCCGGCCTCACATTCGATTTGTTTGAGAACGAGATCATGGTGCTCCTGGGACACAATGGCGCTGGAAAGACCACGACCATACAAATGTTGACGGGTACCATTCCACCCAGCTCCGGCACGGCGATCATCAATGGCTACGACATACAAACCGAACACCTCCAGGCCCGTCGCTCCTTGGGCATTTGTCCGCAGAGTAGCGTCTTCTTTGGTGGTTTAAGTGTGGCCAGTCACCTTCGCTTCTACAGCCGCCTCAGAGGCCTGAAGGGGGCAGCGGTCAAACAGGAGGTGGATAAATACCTACAGAAGCTTAGCCTAAAGGAAAAGGCCTCCAGCTCGGCCAGAAGCCTCTCTGGCGGCACCCAGCGACGGCTCGCCCTGGCCTGTGCCCTGTGCGGCAACGTCAAGGTTCTGTTCTGCGACGAGCCCAGTTCGGGTCTGGATCCCAACTCGCGGCTCGAACTATGGAAGCTGTTGCTGGACGAGAAGCAGGGACGCACCATTCTGCTCACCACACACCAAATGGACGAGGGCGAGGTACTGGCCGACCGCATTGCCATCATAAGCGATGGCCGGCTCCGTTGCCTGGGCTCGCTGGCGTTCCTCAAGAAACAGAACGAGACCAGCTATCTGCTCACCTGCGAGAAGGGCCCCAACTGCAATGTGTCCAGGTTGACCCAACTGATAGCCGGCCACGTGCCCAACACGCTTCCCCAAAGTAACATTGGATCAGATGTCTCCTATCGATTGCCGCACCGCTATCTGGGATCCTTTGGGTCACTCTTCAGCGACTTGGAGCAGGAGAAGGAGCAGCTGGATGTTGTGGGATTCGGTCTTAGCTCCACCAGTCTGGCAGAAATATTTATGACGCACGGTGCAGAAGATCTTGGGCGCGGTGGGGGTCGCACTAGCGGCGGTGGCAGCGGTGGCTCAGATGTGCAGAGGCAGAGACAGAGCCAAAGTCAGAGCCAGAGACAGAGTCCGGAACAGAGCCATCGTCCAAACTGTTGCCAGCGGTTCTTGGGCCAGTGGGAGGCCATGTTGCTGAAGAAGCTGCTTTTTATCAATGGCAAGAAATGGATATTTCTGGTTATCCTGCTGCTGCCCATAGTCCTCTACATTTTTTTTCTGATTCGTAAGCCATCGGCGAGCTCCTTACTGGTCAGGCTGCCGATAGCACTGGCCGATTATAAAAACGACGACGTGAAAATAATATTGCAATCGACATCGGACACTCGCCCTGCGCGGGATATAGCCAATGCCTACCAAGAGCTGGCCCAGCAACACTGCACCGTGGAAAGAGTAAGCCAGAATATAAATGACTACATCGGCCCGGGCCAGGAAACGCCCCAAAGGATGTACGAAATGAAGCGCAGTCTTATAGCAGCAGTCACCGTCGACCAAGAGACGATCGCCTGGTGTAGATATAGTCTTTTCTTGCATAGTGCTCCTCTTTCGCTCAACCTCGCATTCAATGCCATGGCCAAAGCGCTGGTGGGCCCCGAGGCGAGCATAGAGGTAACCAATGCCCCCTATAAAGGCTCGAATGCACACGGATATGACGCAATTGAGTCTTTAATCGCGGCCATTTGTGTTTTGCTCTATCTGTCCATTGTCCTGGCGATATTCGCCATCTTAGTGGCGCAGGAGAAGGCATCGCAGATACGGATGCAGCAGCAGGTGTCCGGCGTGAACATGGCCACCTACTGGCTGTCCCACTACATCGCAGACTTGGTCCTCTACTTTGTGTTTTCGCTGGCACTGATACTGGTGTTGCACGAGCTGTGCCATCCCGGGGATATGCTGGCGATCCTCATGATTATCGGAGTGGCGGGTCTGCCCTTCACCTATATGATGGCATGCCTTTTCAGAGATGCTGGCACTGCAGTGGTCATAATTACCAACTTTAACATTCTGTTCGGTAGTATTTTGGAACGTCCGTCTTCAGAGTAGAGTTTAAATTTAACCCGCAACCCGTTTCCCCTTTCCATAGGTGCGGTTTTCGGCTTCTTCATGGCATTGACATGGGGGTCAATTGATATACCTTTAAAGATGTTGTGGATACGGTTATTCTACCTTTATCCTGTGTTTACTGGCCTCTTTGCGGTCGCAAAATGCTTCGTAAGGAAAAAGTGCAATTTTGAACAAATTCCATTTGAGCAGTTCGATGATTTAGATGCCGGTTTCGAACCGCCTGAATCGTTATGTACTCCCGGAAACACCTTTACGGCGGACTGCTCTTGCATGGGTAAGAATCACTTTAAACACACACACACCCACACGTATATACTTGGTAAGTTAATTATAATGGGAAGAATTAGAATACCTAAATACATACATATTTGGTATACTGATAAGCCGCTTAATTTAATTATTTTCGCTTAACATATTTAACCAACTAACATTAAAGTAAATAGCTGTAAAGTCTGATATATAGTTTTTGCCATTTTGCAGTCATATTTTCCTTTATTTGCATCTCCCATAAGAAAGGTTGATTCTCGATTAAAGTTCTTTCAAAACTTATTTCGCCCACTTCAACCTTTGGTGCAAATTATGGGAATAATTGGCAGTTAATTCTATTGTCAAAGAATGGGATTAATCAATTTACGAAAAGAAGAACAGCAAGTCAGACACTTGCCTATTTTTTTAAGAAATTTATCCATAAACACTCATAGTACATTATACATATATATAATATACACATATTTGTATGTATGCATGGCCTTTTTCTTGCAGACCTTCTGGACTGGGTGGAGGTGAGGTATCTGCTTATTTCTGGCATTATCTACTTGTTGCTGCTGATATTCGGCGAGTACAGTAAAATGTTGTGGCATGGCCTAAAACATATTTTTGGTTGTTGTTGTAAAAAAAATGTGACAATCAACGATGCAGATGTGGCTGCTGCGGCCGAAGGGATAAGCAAAATGTCGAGCGAGGATCGCCAGGAGCATGCTTTGGTCCTGAACCGGGTCTCAAAGAGATACTGCAGCCTGGCTGCCGTACGTGGAATATCCTTCGCTGTCAAACCGTGAGTAGACCGTGATTAAGGAGTAGCAGTGCAAAAGCAACAGCCAAATCCCCAATTTACTGCAGGGGCGTGTGCTTTGGGCTGCTGGGTGCCAATGGGGCCGGCAAAACGACAACCTTCAAGATGATTGTGGGCGACATTGGCATGACCATGGGGAGTATTCACGTCAGAGGCTGCAGCCTAAAACTCCGTCCCACGGCAGCGAGGAAGCACATCGGCTACTGCCCCCAGCACGACACGCTCTTCGACTTCTGCACTGGCCGTCAAACACTCAGGATCTTCCTTTTGCTGCGCGGCACACGCCGAAATCTCATCAAAGAAGCCACCGAAAAGTTGGCCTCTGAATTTGGCTTTTTTGTGCACCTTGACAAAAAGGTCAAATACTACAGTGGCGGCACCAAGCGAAAGTTGAACGCGGCAGTGGCCGGCGAGGGCTCATCGCTCATTTGTCTGGACGAGCCCAGCTCTGGGGTCGATCCGGCGTCCCGGCGCCATGTGTGGAACGTCCTCTCCTCCCTGCGGGACAAGGGGAAGGCGGTGGTACTTACCTCTCATAGCATGGAAGAGGTGGAGGCCCTGTGCACGCAATTGGCCATTATGGTGGATGGTCAGATTCACTGCCTGGGATCGCAGCAGCGCATCAAGAACAAGTTTGCCCAGTGTCTGGTGCTCAAGTTACACGTGGAGACGAGCCCGGAAAGGTGAGCCGCTTAAAGTGTATGCAATGGCCGTATAGAGACAAACCTCCCTTCCACCCACCCTCACAGCATGGCGCACACTCTACAGAAGATAAAGACTCAAATGGAATCGGACTTTCCCACGGCATCGCTAGAGTAAGTTGCACTCAGACCAAGCAAACACACTCACTCGTAATGATTGCTCATTCAGGGAAGAGTTCGGTGGCAGGCTCACCTACCACATTCCCACGGCTAAGCTGCGATGGTCGAAGGTATTCTCGTACGTTGAGAGGAACCGCAGCCCTTGGAAGGTGGCAGACTACTCTCTGACGCAGCCGTCGCTAGAAGATGTATTTCTGGACATTGCCAAGAAGAAAGCGAACGAAAGGAATCAACGAAATAATCAGAAGAAGCAATCGCAGAGTCGTGCTTCGAAATCTGATAAAGATAATAATAAATAAATGAATGCCTATTTAATACTTTTGGGTACCAGTATTTTTGCGGAAACAAGTACCGTCCTCTCATTACTACTCTCTTTTGATTGTCCCATTAAATGTATTTAGTTTGCGGCTAAGCTTGTTGATTCCCATTTAAATATTTTGACCTTACCCCTATTCACACATATATTGGGCGCATTCCCAATGCATTCGCTAGCCGCAAAATGAGCACGATTTGAATGCCCACAAAATGCCCAAAAAGGGGTTAACAACTAATAAATAAAACAAATATAACGCAAAATGTTCCATTTAGGCTGGTTCCATTTCATTTCATTTGCTCGGCTTGCTTTTGTTTGCATTTGGTCCATTTTTGGTGAACGGCCATTAAATAATTATTTACAGAGCTTGGGCCACAATGAGAATAATGAATCGCAACAAAGTGAAAATCTAAGCAAATAAATAATACATATTTAATTCTATTTCAATTCATTAGCTAATGTAATTAGTGGACCACGCCCACTCGCGGCTGTCTAAAGTCTCCTGTGGAAACGGCAAGCGCTTGTAATTGGATTAAACTCATAGCCGAAAGCCGCCGAGGATAGTGCGAGAGTACGCGTACGCCCCCCACTATATGGTGTGCACTCGCACGCAATCCAAACAAACTGATTCTGCCATTGGAATAATGCAAATATGACAAAACAAAGGTGAAACTTACTGAAAATACGAGTATATGCCATCCTTATATTCCTCTTAATTTCCCCACACATTTGTCATTGGAGAAAGAGAGACACAGAGAGAGAGAGAGAGATGTTGCCTCGACAACCGAAGCGGAGCGTAGAGTCGCGGCGCGGCGCGGCGCGGCGCAGTGGTTTAATTACATTTAAAAGGCTCTCGTTGCACGGGGCGTATGCTTAATAAACCAGAGAATAGCAAAGCAGGTGGTGTGAGATGTGGTGAGAGGTGGTGTTGTGGCAGGGGGAATTGAATGTGAAAGGGGAATTTATTCAGTTATTTGTCTGTTTGTTTGTTTGCCTGTTTTCGTGTGTTGCACATAATTCAATAAACAGAATAACGAGTGACGTGCCACAAAACTAATGAACTCAAAGTGAGGCAAACGCAAAATACGTGCACGAGAGTGTAGTATCAGTTGCATTCATCACGTTCGGCTATGAGTTCCGCACACTTTCTCTAATTGAATAATTAAAACCAAACTGAAACGTATTCAGCAGCAGAGGGGGATGCAGACAGAATTATTTGGAGCTCGTTAGGGGCTCAACTACAGCGATATTCTTTTGCAGATTTCATAATGTTTGTCAGTAGACGCTGCCATCTACTCGTACTTAAGCTCGAAAGCGAATGAAAAATCATCTTAAAGTCTTTTCAAATGCTGTTTTCACCGTTTCTGGCTGCCCGTCTTAAGTTCAAATGCAGCCGCAAACACCCCTTCATGCGTCAGGAGTCAAAGCGAGATGAAGAACAGAGCTAACATGCAATCACGTTGACAGACTCTTTTAAGTAGAAAATGCTCGGGTGCAAAATGCAGCCAGAGAAAGAAAATAATCCCCCAGCAAGAGCAGGGCGGGTGTTTTCTAGTGCCGGCAGATGCGCCGACTGCAGGGCAAACTTTTGAGTTTCATTTTTGTTCGTGAGTCACGTGCCCATCTCCAGCGGAGACACACACTCGCACACACCTGCTGACACACCCACACAAACACACACACACATGAGAGCTGATCCCTGCTACTTAAGAAAAACTAAGTGAAGCATATAAGTAGCAACTAATTTTCAAGCTGATGTAAAAGCAGACGACAAGGACGAGAACGACAAAGGACTACAGCAGGGAGACATCAACAGCTGTCTGCTTGCTCTCTGTGTGTGTGTGTGGGGCGGGGTGTGGTTGTATCTGTTCTAGTTCTTTTTCTTTTATCCTCTCCGTCAGCTGCGCTTAATTTGCGCTCATTGCTCGCCAATGCGTAAATGGCAAAGAAACAAAAAGACAAAGCGAGAGGCGAACAGAAATCGTTGCATACTTTTTGGGGCAGTCCAATGTTAAAAAGAAAAGAAGCGTCGAAGGTGCTGGTGGGGTGTTGTGGGGAGGGGAGGGAAGCATCGAAACTTGCCCCAAAACAATTTAAAATTACCTCACGTATGTGTGGGAAATTGCAAACGTATTGTGGGCGTGTCACCGCCTCACGCCTCACGCCTCCCGCCCTCAATATATACTATCTGGCAGCTTATAAGTCAAGTGCAAAGCCAAACCCACACCTAAACCCAAACCCAGACCCAAACCTAGAGAAGAAACGAAACGAAACGAAATCCAACTCGATCCCAGCTCCACTGACTATAGCAATTTTCGTTACAAAACTTTTGGGCTAGGCAAGCGAGTGGTGGGCGTGGCCGAGCGCTGGCAGTGCTGTGGCATTTTAAGTAAAATTTTATAGAGCATACCTTGCGGGTGCTTGTGCAGCGCTCCTAACGATGTGTGTCTGGGGGGGCGTATGGGTGGCTGCGAGTGCCTGTAAGGTGTTCCTGGAGAAGAGCTGAGGAATGTTGCTGATGACGTCGCTAGACGACAGACGAATTAAGTGTTTCGTTATTGTTGCTGGCTGGCTTGTGTGCAACGAAGCGTACTGCAGTTGCCAGTAGCTGGCAGTGCCCAGAGCCGGCAGTGCTAGGCGACACAGTGGTCGATGTGGATCTGAAAGCAGAGAGCAAAGTGTGGGTATGTTTTAATATTGCATTGTGCCACTAACTAAAATATTAATAAATATTTTAATAATTGTACACAATATATAAAAAAAAAATTATAAAATCAAAATTAAAAAAAAAGGGGCGCGTTACCACCGTCACCCGCTCAGTCAGCATAAACATTTTAAAATTCTTATTTTTGGAAACCATTCTACATCTAACATGTAATGTACATGTCCACCGCCGAGCGGCGAGGGCGGGGGGGGGGGGGGGGGGGGGGGGGGCCCGGAGGCGGAAGGGGGGGGGGGGGGGGGGGGGCGCGGGCGGGCGGGCGGCGGGCGGGGGGCCCCCCTACCGGTAAGCCCAAAAAAAAAAAAATTCGTATCATAAATTTAAAAGTAAAAATGAATTAAAAAAAAATAGAAAATTTGTTTGAGTTACGATAATAATGACCAAAAACATTTAATCTTTTATGGAAATAAAAAATACAAATTCCTTAAATCATATTCAATAACATCCCCGTAAGATCATATTCCATTTGCATAATTAAAATTATAAAATTAAATGAACTTAGTCCAATAACAATAAGTTTAAAGCTGCAGCGCTGGGAGACAGCATAAAATAAATAAATAAGGAAAAAACTCTTTGTTTTCTTGTTATTTGCATTCTTAAATTACTTCTGGTATTTTTTAATCTTTTACTTTAAATTCCATTAGGTTCGAGTATTTTATTGCTCTCCCAAGCACCCGTATCAAATTGAATGTGATAACCTTTGTCGCCTATCCTGGGCAATTGTCTGCCCAGGTCCAAGTGTCTAAGTGAGTTTGTCTGCCAGTCACTGTGAGTGCGTGCGACTCCTTTGCTTGCCTGGCTCCAGCTCCAGCTCCAGTCCCTCAGGTCTCAGTGCTCCGCTCTCGAGTCTCTTGCCTTTTGCCACTTACAACTCCAGTACTGCTGTTTCCTTTTTGGCCGAGGAAATGCATTATCCACTTAGGAGGCAAGAGGGAAAAAGTGCCTCGCTGGGTTAGCAGCTACTTAGCGCGCCAGGAACAAAGCTCTCCCAGTTCTCTTCGCTCTCGGAAGCCAGACAATCGTAAGGATGGCATGGAATGGTATGGCTGGGGATACTTCATTAAACTTGTGCTAATTCTCAACACCTACACTGTGATTTTGTGCTACCTTCTGCCCTTCACACTAACATGCATAAAAAGCGATTGACACGCACAGAAAACAGTCGCAGATACAATATCTTTGGTTGCTGGCCAAACACTTCAGTTCTAATGAGGCAACTTAAAGAGTGCTAAACTTTCACCTGCAGATGGGACGGTTTGTGGTCTGGGTCTGGTCCTGGTCTATCGTGTGTGATTCCAGCCGTAAAGATAAAGCACCAAAGGCAAACGCAGACGCATATAGCGAGGGGAGTGAGTGTGGAGTCGTTGCCCAACCCCCCACTTTGGGAGTCACGTGCAGCTGCTTAGCATCCAGCAAAGCAACCACCATCGCACCAACCACCAAACCAAACCAAAGCCAAGACCCGCTTCATTTCCCTCCACACATTATCAATAGAGCGATTGGCGGAGTTGGCGGAGTTGGGGAAGTTGGGGGAGAGGGCTGCTCAATCTCAGTGATTGACATGCGGGCGCACTGAGATACGCATCAGGCATTTAAACGAAGATACCAGAAATCAGGGAATTAACTTTAATACGAATGGTTTTGGGGTACTGACTTAAAATAAATGAGACTCATTTTGGGACCATAAATATGTGAATTGTCTAAAACTTGCTGAAAGTTTTTTGCTTCGTCAGCCCCAAAATATTTCCTATTCCTCTAAGCTTGGGCCACAGTGAAAGGCTCTGCTGCATTTTGCAGCTCGCAGAAAGTGCAATCAATGCCAGAAACAATGAGCGAAGAATATGAATCGTTGCGTTGACTCTTAGCAAAATTTAATTCAGCAAAAATTATGACAAAGTTTTCCCTCGGCGCCTGCATGTTCAAATGTCAACGATTTTTCGCAACGCTCCCCTTTGCCTGTTTCTGCTCCCATGCGCCCTGCAATGTCAGACAGTGCCATGTCCTGCAGGAAAGCTTTTTGTGAGCCGTTTTGTGATATGCTGCTCAGCTCTTAATGATTTGCCAAGCCGCTTTTGTGTTTGTAATATTGGAAAACGCGTTTTACTTTTTTCGTATACGAGTATGCTCTGATTTCCCCTCCACCAACCCATCCACCCTTTTTGACAAGTCGTAGAAAGAAGGAAAATCTTTTATTTTCCTCCTTGTTGTTGGGTGTACGAGTGCACGAGTAATGCAAATGCCAAGCAGCTCAACGGCCTCACATTTCACATGGCGCTCGCGGGAGCCGGGGGTTCGGGAACCAGGAAAAACGTCTTAAAAGCTTCCGCCCCGGCTTTACATGCCACCGCTCTCTCCCTCTCTCTCTCTCTCCATGCCATACTACCGTTTGGATTACACTCACATGACACCCAGACAATCAATAACCATTGACAAGCCACAAGCCCAGCAACAACCACACAGGGACAACACAGCAGACGCATTTAGTTGAGATCCGTCAGACCCTGCCCCGCCCCACCCCTCCCGCAAGTATGCTCGGAAACGTTCTTTATGGGTCCGCTCCTCGGATTGCAAATCGTCGAAGATGTCATCGTCATCTCGTTTCGTTTCGTTTGGTTTACAGCTCACAACTTTTCGTGGCTTTTTCATATGATTTGATTACATTTTCGTATTTTTTTTTCGGGGGAATTTCTCGATGGCTGCACTAAGTTCAATTGACAATTGAAATACAATATTTTTATTTGTGCCCTGAGCAGACAGCATTCAAAATCGCCTCGCTGTCATAATAATATGAATATTGTACGGTTTATTTTTGTCTGGGCTTTACCCCAAAAACGATTTGTTGTAATGGCGACAAGCGATTGGCTGAGTATCGAACGATAGAGAGGGGATTATGGGAGGGCAGCGCATTCGATTACTTTACGCATCCAAGACTCTGCTGAAATAGGTCAGACACTTAAATGGCATACCCATGTACATATTTATGTACTAAAGAACTGGGAAGGGTTTTGAAAATCGAAGGGAAATTTACATTAGAATTCACACTTAGAGAAAAATAAATAAATAGCAATTTAACTTTTTAAATTCGGCACTAAACATAAGCCCATTGAAGCTAAGTAGACTTCACTGTGATTTAAACATAAATGTACTAAAAATACTTTTTGATTCAGCGCATATTTAATCTAAATTTGAAATTTAAATATATAAGTAAAATATATTACGTTTGCAGCTTATTTAAATCAAATATAATATTATATTATTATATTATATAATATATTATAATATAATAATATAATGGAAATCAGAGTAAAAGAAGTTTGCATGAAATACTGCATATTCAATTTCAATAAATGTTTGTTGTATTTCGTGTAAATAAGTTTGTAATTATTTGTGATGGCCCTCGAATTCCCGTCGCTAATTTAACTATGAAATATATTTATTTTAATGACGAAATATATATAAAACGAGAAGGAACGTGTGAGTCGCTTCTGGGGACGCGACTCTACTTATACCCGTACTCAGTCAGTATATACATTTTTGAGCATGATTTTTTAGAATTTTAGAATTAAAAAAAAAATTTTACATTTTACATTTTTTTGCTACATATGATATCTGCATCTACAAATACAATGTATATTCTACATCTAACATGTAGATTGTACATGTTCCAATTAGATTCTACATCTCCTCCGCTAGGGGTTGCTCGGGCACTGAACGCGGCAGAATGTGCGAGCGAGAAGGAAAATGAGATACGTTGTCGTGGCGGGAGGGGGAGGGGAAGCAACTCTTCATTCTGGCTATAATTATGATCCGATATAGTTCATATTTGGCAATCTGGTAGATATGGGCATTCTCTACGATACTGCGTTTTAAGTTTTATCGTATATTGTGCCTGCCACAGATTTTCGTTCTTTGTGTGGGCGGAAGGGGCGGGGCGAAATTCTGAAATACACTTGTAGCAGTGTGATATCACATGAGTCTGGAAACCAAATTTGGTTTCGCTAGCTCTTATACTCTCTGAGATCCAGGCGCTCATCGAGACGGACAGACGGACGGACGGACGGACGGACGGACAGACAGACATGGCTATAACGACTCGGCTATTGATGCTGATCAAGAATATATATACTTTATGGGGTCGGAAAATTTTCCTTCTCTGCGTTACACACATCCACTTTTACCACAAATCTAATATACCCCTTAAGTGTTTTTTGAGTACGGGTATAAAAAAAACGTTAAATAAAATATTAAAATTCAGCGGTCATTTTTGGATTTGGGACTATCCTGGGTCCCACTTCTGGAGCTACAAGTTATCCTTCGCCATGGAAACACTTGCACACCGTTGGTCGTCATAGCAACCCGGTTGCTTGTTGACTTACACAAACATAAAACCAGAACTATACTAGAGTCACAACAGGCATCAAATAGTCAGTTACAGCATGAATATATCATCCACAATTAGGTAAGTTGCGGGCACAAACTCAAGACGAGGTGAGGCAATTGCTGATGTTGGTGCACCCACAGTTGGTGCAACGTCTGGGACAAAGGCAGCATTATCAATGTGGGCCCCGATGTGCTCGGCCTGCGCAATGGGAACGTGATCAAGTTTGTGCACATGCAGACGAAGGCCGTGAGCTACTTCAAGGCGGAGACGGTGGCCACGGGACTGCACATCAGCGTGTTTGCCGGCCACAATCGCTTCCCGCTGTTTGCGTTTGCCGAGGTGGTGCTGCGGCCCCACATCTACATCTACAAGTATCCGGAAATGGTCAAGTTCAACACCATCTTACGTGAGTAGGGGGATAGCGGGCGTAGGATGAGGTGAGATGCGATGATGATGGAGTGTTGGTGTGTCCTTTTAGCGCACCTGATCAGCTACAATGACATCCGGTTCTCGGAGAACGATCTGCTGGTGGCGGTGGGCGGCTATCCGGACTATCCGATCTGCGTGTTCAACTTCCGCACCGGCACCCTGATGCTGGAGCATGTGACCAACGTGCCCACCTTTGCGCGGGGCCTCTGCGTGAGCAACTCCAACGTGCCGACAATTGTGCAGTTCCACAAGCAGGAGATGAGCATCCTCTGCTACGAGATCTGCTCCATCGAGAAGGAGTCCAAGCTGCACCAGATCTCCTACGTGGATGTGGGCAAGGACTATCTCAAGTCCTGGGAGAACTTCATGTGTTTCGGCGACGACAATAACCTGTACGTGGTGAACGACTACGGGGAGCTCTTCCAGGTGGACATTGCCTGCTTCCTGCTCAAGAGCCAGTGGAAGCCCGTCTATCTACGCGAGGATCTGGAGCACTCGGCTGCCCGACCCCACGCTCTCACCCTGCATCGCATGGGGCTGCTCATCTCGAACAGTACGCACGCCTTCTACCTTAAGAAAAAGGCCGGAGGCTACTCGGCCGAGTGGCTCATTGATCAGCAGCAGCTGCAGGACGTCAATAGGTTCGTGAGCAATCAGAACGGGGAGATCTATGCCGAGCAGCGGCTGGGCAGCATCGCTCAGGTGACGGTCGAGGGCAATGCAGCCTCGCTGCTGGACGTTGTCCCCACCGGCCGTCCTGTGATCACATTCCGAGTGATTACAGGCATCAAGGAGGAGTGTGTGGCCGTCCTGCACAGCGACAGAGTGGCCATGATGGACCTGGCCAAGGGGACCACCCTGTGCGAGGTGCCAGTGGCCAATGCCTGCGCCATGCATTCACACCGCAGCATGGCCATTGCCATTGTGGGCACCGAGGACGGGCGCCTCTGCATGATCCACTTCGAGAAGGCCTCCGTTGGGAATGTCACCTTCGAGCTGGAGACCAACACTCTGGCGGTGATTGCCCTGGACTTTCACGACAATTGGCTGGTGTTCCAGGACCAAGTCAGGGGCCTGCACATCGTCCAGCTGGAGTACAGGCCGCACAAGATGACGCTCTACCTGAATGTGAGCGAGCACCTCAAGCAGGTGTTTGTCCACAGTTTCCTGCTGGTCGAAGGACCCCGCCTGATTGTGGCCATCCATCGGGATGCTAGTATAAAGCTGCCCGGCTGCGCCACCGAGCTGTGGATCTTCAACTGGGGCAAGGACAAGCGACTCCATCGGCGGGAGTATACGCTGCCCAATCAGTATGTTTCGTTCTGTGTGCAGCCGCCGATGGGCCGCTGGACGCAGATCGAGATCATTGCGGTGGCCTTCAATTCGCCCAACTTTGATCAGTTCGTGCTGAACGAACGGCAGGAGATACAGTGGCTCTCGTCCGTGCAGACGCCCCACTTTGGCTACATACTGGGCATCATGATGACCAAGCATCTGCTCACCTGGAGCGTGGGCGGCATTGTGGTCCATTTCCGGCAGCACAAGCGGGCGCGAAAGCCCTTTATGGTCTGCCGCTTCCTCAATCTGGCGTTTGTGCCGGAGAATCTGCTGCGGGCACGCGAATGCTTCAATTCCAAGTAATCACTTTCCCCGCTACCTTAACCGAAATCCCACTTATCCAATCCTGCGTGTTCCCAGATACCTGATCATCTTGCTGTCAACGCAGAATCTGCGCGTGATGCGTCTGCCGTCGCTGTCGGACTTTGTGCGGGAGAATGTGGAGCGGCAGCTGCCCAACGAGGACTACAATCTGCTGGAGCAGATCAACTACAAGGTGAGTCCGTTCGTGCCCATCACCGTGAAGAAGGAGGCGAAGGAGGAGTACACCAAGGCGGACCTGTTCAAGCGCGACAAGGTATTCAGTATGATCGGAGAGTTTGCCGCCAAGGTCACGGCCCTCATTGACTACGACATTTCGGTGACGGGCAAAACCAATGGCATCTTCAAGAAGTTCTGCTTCAACTACAAATGGCTGGACAGCCTTACGGCCGAGGCCCACAAGTTGTGCACCCTGGAGCGGGCCTCGCTGGAGCGGGCCATCGAGGATCAGTCGCGCATCCGAGACTGGATCATGCGGCAGGTGACACGCGAGGCCGTCAGCATCAACTACAAGGTGCGATCCATCTTTGCGGACGCCAATTTCGAGAGCTTTTCGATGCGCCGCAAGCCGGATATGGTGGAGTTCGACAAGTATCGGTTCTACGACCTGGAAGATCACATCCGCATGTCCATGGGCTCCATGGAGGATATGGAGGAGTTCATCCAGCAGCAGCAGCAGCAGCAGCAGCAGCAGCAGAGAAAGTCGCCAGCCATCAAGGGCCCCCATGCGGACGAAACAGAGCTGGAGGGGGAGGAGGAGGAGGAGGCAGAGGAGCACAAGGGGCTGCAGGAGTTGAAGCCCTTTGTGGTGGAGGGCCCCAGTGTCTACGAGCACATGATGGCCCCCGTTTTCCAGCTGCAGGACAAGAATCTCGTCACCTCGAATCAGCTGTACAACGAGACGTGCAAGTTCCGCTACTATCTGAACGATCCGCTCAAGCAGGAGTTCAACAAGCTCTTCCACGAGGCCCAGCAGCTCAAGCAGGACACCATCGACAGCGTCCTGGGCACCAACAAGGTGCTCTACAAGATCTACGATAACATGAACATAATGCTGCGCCTCCTCCACATGGACCAGTTCGAGCCGCCGGATCTGACGGTGCCTGCTCTGGCCAAGGACGAGGTCATTAAGCGCATCATGGAGGTGGATGACTCGGAGATCAAGGCCATCAATCGGCGGAGGCGCAAGACCATCGATACGGGCGGCAAGAAGGGGCGGCTGCTGCTCTGGTCGGTGGAGTTCTGGGCCCGCGCCCTGATCGTCATGATGGACGGGGTGCTGGAGAAGCTGTGGGAGGAGGAGATCAAGAAGGACATACCCATACCGGAGTTCATGCTGAAGAAGCAGCCGCACGAGTACAGCCTCGAGGACCAGAAGATCTTTCGCGCCTACGAGGAGGCGGTGCGCCAGCTGGAGGCGGATCGTCGCAAGTATCTGCGCATCCTCACGGAGAACGAGGCCAAGACCCAGGATCTGAAGGGCAAGCACATACTGAAGCTCAATCAGCGGGTGGCCGAACTGATGATCCTCAAGCTGAAGTACGACTTTGCCCTCAAACAGAGCCGCGTGCGCCTGCTCACCCTCGAGACGATCAACTTCACACGCGTGCACATCCGCAAGCGCATTGGGATGTTCCGCAAGGACTTCGAAAAGCTCAACGAGTACATCAGTCGCTATGGGGCTCTGTTGGAGTTCTGGGAGCGTGGCTTGGCCGATGCCAAGACCCGACTGGAGGCCCAGCAGACCAGAGATCGCGCCATTGAGCGCTACTTCCGCAGCACGTTCCTGAACACGGTGCCCCATGCCCAGCACGAGATGACGAAGCTCTTCAAGAAGCGACCCAAGCTGCCGGGCAAGGTCTTCAATTCGGTTCTGATCTGCATGGAGACGTCGCACAAGCTCAGCGGCAAGCAGAGCCAGCGCAATGCCTTCCCCCTGCCCAAGGAGATCCAGGAGTTCTTGGCCTACGTTGCGGAGATCGAAGCGCCCAAGAACTGTCCGCCCCAGGTGGATGCCAAGAGCTGGGAGTCGTTCATCAAGCTGCGGCGCCAGAAGATGGAGAGTGAAGTGCGCCTCAAGGCGGTCGGCTATCAGCTGGCGGATGGCCAGGGCTATCTGGCGAGCATAGCCAAGGATTTGACGGCCCTCAAAGACTCGAAGAATGTGACCCAGAAGAGCTCCGAGGAGAGTGTCCAGAAATATGTGAGTTGTGGCTCAAAGTTCAAAGTCAAACTGTGTGCTTAACCTTTCGATTGCCAGCTGGAAGTAATGCGGAACATGAACCTGCAACTGACCCTCACGCTGGGCCAAGTGGAGGTGTCGGTGATGGGTAATGCCGAGGCCCTAACCAACACTGTGCTGATGCATGTGGATGACATCAATGAAGTGAATCGTCTGATACAGGTGAGAGACGAGACGAGGCACACAACCCAAGGCATTCCCCTGAGGATTGACTCCCCTTTCCGCAGGATGCTGGCAACAAGAAGATCAAGGCCATGCAGCGTGTGGCCGTATTCCGGCGTCAGGTGATCTTCAAGGAGTGGGAGCACAAGCTGTACAAAGCGAACATTGCCTACCTCAAGTACATGCTGGATGCCATCGAGAAGTGCAAGGTGTCCATGGAGTTCCTCAACATTCTGCGCAACTGGGAGAAGGTGAAGGCCGAGCGACAGAAGTACATGGCCGCCGGGGCCATAGAGCGTGTGGTTGAGCAAAAGATAGCCGCCTTCAAGAAGCACATCGAGCGCATGTAGGTTCCTCAGACAGGGCTCTCGTACACCTTCAACCTTAATCCCCTTCCACTCTCCCATTCACTATTTTAGCAATCTCAAAATTGACATTGTAAAGGCCAACACGCTGGAGATTAAGCGTAAAAGTCATGCAATCAATTTCCAAATTGAACGGATCAAGGTGGACGTCACATTCCAGAACACTCTGCGCGACACCATGATGGAGGAGAAACGCGATCGCGAGCAGCGCGAACGGTGAGCGCCCCGAGAGAACCCTCCCTCCCTCCCACCAAACTGATAAGTCTCTCCATCTCTGTCTTCGCCCGCAGAATGTCTCAGATTAAGACCCATCGACAGCTCATGGATAATGTGCGCCGTCACTATGCCCATGTGCTGGAGCTGCAAACGATACTGGAGCTGCTGCGCCTGCGCACCTATCCGACCCTGGGCCCACCCCTGCCCCAGTGCCATCCACCCGTGCCCGAGCACATACTCAGCTCGGTTCCTCCATAGAGCTGTTCCACAGTTCGCCGAACTTTAACCCTTCGCCCTGCTGCTGGCCGAAAGTTTTCGCAGCACTTCCCCGAATTACAATTAAATGTTTTCATTACGCCAAATGAAAATTTATTAGTGGTTGTTCTTGGCTTGTGCTCAGACTGGCAGTCACTGGGAGTCTCTGGGAGACCTCTAGCCTCCGCTGGCACTTAATTGGGTTTGGTTTGTGGCTGGTGGAAAATCATCTCCCTGGCATACTTCTACGGATGAGCTGGCGCGGACAAAATTGTACTAGAAATTGTCTTAATGGATTGGCTCTTGAAACGAAGCGTCGAAGTGCCCAGGCCAAGATGTGAAGGGGGCAGCTGCCACGCTCTCAAGTGGAGAAGTGCTGCAATCTTGTGGATGGGCCTTTTAGGTTATGGAGATCAAATTGCTGGCCTCTCTGCCTTTGTTGGGTGGATAAATATTGTTGTCACACGAGTATTCAAACATAGACTAAACAAATCGTATATTTACTTTCCAGCTGCAAGTGTTTAGATAATCGAATTCCAACAGAACATTTTTCAGTTTAAATCATTGCGTAATCGCATATGTGTATGTGTATATACCATAAGCTCGATCCCCTTATCTGCCCCTGTCCGACGAAACTAACAAACTGTACTTTTCATTCGCTCAGTGAGTCTATTCCCAAACTGAACTGCAAATCATGCTGGAAATTAAAAGCTTTATAGAGGCGACCCCGAGCGATGAACCCAACTACCCACTGGCTGAATGGAAAGTGTACTCGTACTCATATTACTTACTATACAGTATATAGTATATAGTAATCAAGCAAACTTTTCGCTTCCAAGTTCGGTTTTGATGACTTACTAAATTCAACAGCGCAGCGTAGTGTTAATATTTCAGGTGTCAAAAGTCTACTCGTCGCATGATAGAATAATAGATTATGGGGCTTTTAATCTTTTCCATATTTATATATACATAGTACAAGTTTATTGAAATATAGAACAGCTTATCGGGCATGTTGAAAAAGCCTCGCATCAGCATCAGCATGAGACTCTCAGCCACGTGCTGTGCGCTGATGTAATCTGTCTAATCAGAGACATAATTAAATTTCAAATATACATATACATAAGCATACGAGTATTTGAAACAAAGCGAGAGAAAATTAACTTATCTGCATTGGAATAGAGCCCTAGAGCCTCCAAAATGAGTATCCAGAGCAGTTTTATATGAACTATATTTAATTAATGTAATCAGGAGCAAATAAAACAAATTTCGAAAGAATGTTTGGGGAGATAAGCTCTTGAAATGTTTCCGGGTGCTGCTGCATTAGAAGGCGTCCCTCACCCGCACAGCGGGGTTCAAAAAAATAAGACGTGTCATTTGCGAGTAAAAGAATTCCTGACTAACATCTCACAAATTCGTATGGCCTCAAGCACATTTAATCTATATACGTAGAAGTCTGTGCAATTAAACTATGCTAAAGTACATGCTATTCTACACTCAGAGAAAAAGGGAAAATTAGAACACACAGGCATGGCACACCACAAACAAATCGCAGCAAATTTTCGGTTTAAAACAAAATCTGCTATTTCCACTTCCGGGCCAAATCTATTTTTAAGTCAAAGTGCAAATATTTGAATTCCAGGGATTTTCTCTCTGGGTGTTTGCCGAGCAAATCGTCTGGAATATTGAGCACTTCACTCCACTCCTTATCGGAGCGGACCGGTCAGCGCTGTGCTGGTGCGCTTCTAAGCACTTGACCTTGATAGTGCCAGTGGCGCCGATAAGCCGGGCTCTCGGTTTCAGCTCGGTTCCAGCTCGGTTTGAGCTGCGACGCAAAACGAGCTGTCGTTATGATCAGCTTGGCCATTGCTCGATCAGTACTCAAGTCAACGTTCTCCAGTAAAGAGCAGCTCTCAAGCAGTAAAACAAACTAAAAACTAAAATGGCCAAGATTGCTTTGATCTTCTTCCTGTTCGCCCTCGTCGCCGTAAGTTGGGATAGATCTGCGGTAGAAGGGGACTGTGACTGTGACTGATGGTTTCTGCTTTCAGGTGTGCATGTGCGCTCGCGTGACCCGTGAGGAGCCCGCAAAGACGGAGTTGGAGACTCAGTTCAACGAACTGCTGGTGAAGGCCAAGGAATTTTTCAGCGAGGATAACGTTAAGGTAAGCCTTGCCGACACTTGAAGGCACCAGCCCGAAAAACCTGTGCCTAATCCACTCGATTGCTTCTGCAGGATTTACAGGAGAAGGCAAAGGCTGCCGCTGCGGAAGGTCTTGCTGCCCTCCAGAAACTCTCCAACACCGTGAACGAGCAGATCCAGCAGTCGCCCAAGCCCTAAGCAGTTGCCCAAGGCTCTTAATTAACGATGAAAAAAATCAAATCAAAATATGTTGTGCCCAATAAAGGCTTAAACTGAAATTTAAAGGCGATTAACATCAGCTCAACAATGCAGGAACATCCACAAACGGAGATAGATCTCGCTCATGGCAAAGAGTCGGTACAGGGCCTGTTGTCCCACCAAGGGCAGCTCCTGACGCCCTCCGCCCTTGTTGGTCAAATCAAAGAGTTGGCGATAATGACGTGTGCGTATGTCCTGCTGCTGATTGACGCTGCAGACACTCCGCGGCATCTGGATCATGTGGTCGACCATTAGTTTGTCTCGTGGGGTAGTCATCAGCAGCAGCTGGCAGCTGACCGCGCGTTTTTCCCCAATGCTCGTCAGATGTAAGCGCAGCACCCATTGCTCCTCGAAGGCGCTGATCGTCTGTGGAATCGCAGGTTTACAGAGTCAGGATTAGCACCAGAGGTATGCTGGGGACCTACCTGAGACTCGAGTGTTCGTTCGCGTATATCCTCCGGGCTCTCCACATCTATGATATCTATCCATTTCATTTTCAAGGTCACAAAGTTGACGCGGCTAGCACTCAGCTTCCGATGGAGCTGCATGAGTGGCATTTGGGCCACATGCAGCTTGGCATCGGCACGCAGCAGAAGCTCTAAGATATCCTTTCCCGTCTTCTGGGGAAACCCACAGCAGGCATCATGCGAGAGCACGCTCTCTTTGTGAGTGCCCTCCCAGTCACAGCCCAGGCAGTGGTACTTGCATCGAACCACACGCTGCTCACAGTCGTTCTTCAAGTGTTTTGAGAGATTTTTCACTTCTGAAAGCTGAACATCGCAGCTCGGACAGCAGATGGGTAGCTCCCAGAGGGCCTGGCGCACCACCAGATTCTGTTCCAGCTCCTTGTTGCTAATGACCACCCGGCAACTGGGGCACAGGGCATCCCTGCTCTTGATTCTGGCATCAGCCAGTATGTGGGTCTTGCAGTCATCGCACATGATGTGCCCATGGCTGCACTGATAGCTTTCGTCTGGATGTGGAACCTCCTGGCACACAACGCACAGCAGCAGATGCTGCAGCCGCTTACCAAGATCAGAGTCGCCAGAGCCCGCACACCCACCCACCACACCCACACTGCTTTCCACATTCAGCGTATCTTCAGCTGCGTTTCCAACATCTGATAGTCGCTGCCTCTTGGCAGCTGGCGGCTGGTCATTGCTGTTGTCGTTGGGCTTGGGGTTGCGGCTGGGGTTGCGGTTGGGGTTGGGGCTGGCATTCGACATTCTGCACTCGCATTGGTTTCACAGTAAAAGTAATTTGATAGTCAGTCGTGTGTTGAGTTAAAGTATGTTGCTGGTTATGTTGGTTGGTTGCTTCACTTTCGATACGAGTTTTCCAAGGCCGAGCTGATTCCCTGAAAATTCCGATAGATCATTGATATTTTTCTCCGTGTGTAATAATGATCCCTCTACACTCTATAATTATTTGCCAGTTTTATGTGTGTCGCTGCATTTTCTAGCTGCTTGCTGTGACCTGGTAACCTCCACCCAAAAACAAAACCAAATGCAAATCGAGTGCTTCCCTGACATTAATCTAGCATGGCTGCCGTTAGGGATAGCGGGCACTTATAATGCACAAATTCCGTACAGGAAATACCATCTCATTTAGCAATTATTGGAGGCACAAACACAAACAGCAACACGATTCGGATTCGGATTCGGGGGAAAATAAATGGCTGTGAAAAGGTGACAGCTGTGAAATATTTGTCAGTTATTTTGCACACCTGTCTGAGCAGCAGAATGGGCGAAGAGGGGTGCGGCTGCGAACATGAATAATGTATCGGCCCTTGTGTAGCTTCCACATGCTCTACCCTCAGGCCCCTCGCCCATCTCTGGAGCCATCGCACGATTGCATAATATCAAAGTGGATTTTTCTCCACGCCAGCGGAGCGTATCGGAGGCAGGCCACGGATAATGCCAAATTGTTGCTTAGACACTTTCGATGCCAGTACTGACAAACACCCGTGCGGAACTCCATGTGTAAATACGAGTACACATGCTTGAGATATCTGTATGTATGTGTGTATAGATCGATTGGCATTTTCCTGTGCAATTCCGTATGGCATTGTTGTGTGAGATTCGTGTACATATGTTGTTGCTCTCTCTCTCTCTTCAGAGCTTTTTTAATGCAAACGCGTCGAGGCTCTATCTCATCCTGCTGCGAGCTTTGATGTGTGCTCCTGGAGGTACTTGTAACAGGTGTAGTAAAATTTGTCACACGAATGGCCAAATAAATTGGCCTCAGAACTCGGAATAGAGCAAAGTAAATGGATGTGCAGGGGAATGTCGATGAGGGTTTCATTGGGCAAATGATTTATGTATTGGCATCGTGTGAGAATCGCTTTTGAAGAAATCCATCGCTCCCCCCGGTGTGATTTTCCTATTTAATCAGCTCTTTAAATTTCAGCTTTAGTCTGGGTCCCAAACCACTGCAAAAAAAGTGAAGCCATTTAAATAGGAGGCAGACAAAAATCACGCATACGACATGTGCAACCCATTGAAAGCCATTTGATTTCATTTTACTTTACGCTTTGCTTGTCAATCGCTGGCAAAGCAATTCGAATTTAATTAAAAATTTATTAAATTCTGCGACAGAATCACAAAGAAATGCAAAAAGTGCGCCACCAGTGTGGGAGAGAGAGAGAGAGAGAGGGAGAGATGCGGATGCAGAAGCAACCTAGTTCCACATTGAACAATTCCCAAAGCAACAATATGGTTGCCATGCCACGCAGTGTGTTTCTCTCTCTCTCTCTCTCTATCTCTGTATCTGTCTCTGCGTGTGTGTGTGTGTGAGTGCATTGTAATGCTAATTTAAATAACGATAAGCCCAACAACAGCAACAACTAAAGAAACAACAGTTGCAGCGACAACATTGGTGACAACAATGGCAACAATAATAGCAAAACAATTTGGCATTCTGTGATTTTGTCATCTTTTCACTATTGTTGCTATTATTGTTGGGAGCTGTCGCTGCCCTTTCATTGAGTCCATTCGCTAAGCAATGGATTACAAATCACTTTGCAGCTTAAATGGTTCTTTCTTTTGCTCCTCTAAAGAGCAGAGATCAAAAATCGAAAATTCTCTTTAATTATCTACTTTAGAAGACACAATATTGTGTCCGCAGCTCCAAATCTGCCAAATCTACATTCCAGCCCACCTTTTTTCATGCCGCTGTAAAAGTTATTTTTCTTTCGATATATTTCTCTTAGATCCCTTTTCAGCTATTTATTTTCCACTTTAAGTTTCAAGTAGGAAAACATTTTCTTCTGATTTATTCAAAAGAGTATTAAGTCTTCATCGGTTATCAGAAATAACTTTATTCCCCAGTAGTGGTGGGGGTGCAGCCACACACACAAACACATACACAAATGCAGCATTAGCATGGGAGTGAGGGAAAAATACAAATAATATAGCCACTTGCGCATAAAGAAGGAAACACACAAACACACACAAAACAACAAAAAACTACAACAAAGTAAAAAAAAAGTTCTGCATACTGCGTATGCGAGCATGGAGCATGGCTTTCCCAACGGAAGGGGTGTGGGGGAGGCGGAAGGTTACCGTGGGTGCACTAGCTAGCTGGTGGCATTATCCTTTCTATCACTTGTCACATTTTCGCATAATGGCGTCATTGCTGTTGTTGCCGCCAGCCGCCTGCTGCCTGTTGCCTGATGGCTGTTGGCGGTGCCGCAGTTGCGAACAATGAATACATTTGTAATGTTAATGGAATGCAGCGGGAACAACATGGAAACCAGAACGAGAACAACGCCAACCATTTTCCGTCCGCCATTGTTGTTGTTTTTGTCGCCTATATTTGTTTGTGTTTATCAGCCATTCGCTTTGCTCTATAAAAGCGGAGCGAGCTCTCCTCTTGCATACCCGCACTGCACGCCTACACGCCTACACGCATCCTCCACCTCCACCCTGCCGATGGTTTCACTTCATCAACAATGTTCTGGTTGCCGGATTCATAGCGATGGCAGCGTGAGTCCTAAGATACTATTGGCAGAAGACCTACAACGAACTGTGGACTGAGGTGCGAGGGTTTTCGATCAGCTGAGTCAGTGCTCAGAATCCAATAACAATATGCACAGTCTTTTCCATCATGCATGCCTCATGCAACATCTTCCTTATTGTATAGTCTTTGTAGATACATAGCTTTAAATACGAAGTTTATTTTGACGTGAGTTCTATAAAATGCACCTTCCTCTGCATTGGTTCCTCTGGTTGCATCCACCAGTGCCACCACACTGTCATCGCTGGCATTTCTGATCTCCAATACCCATGTGCCTAGTGCAGTGCATCGAAGCATAAAATAACGTACAATTTTTATTAGAAATATAAACAGCAAAAAGCAAATGCAAATGCACACATACCCGTATTTACAGGCACACACACACACACACACACACACACACAGACAGACACATACTCCTACTCGTAGCTGCATAGACGCACAATGTGGCAGCCACAATAAAGAAATAAAAGGCTCAGCAGCATAAAGGGGCAGGAGCAGAAGAAGCAGCAACAGCAACAGCAACATAAGCCTCATCGTCGTCGGTGTTGTCGTAGCGACATCAACAAAAAGCACAAAAGCATTTGCATTGCAAATGCAACATAATGCACAGCAACAACATTTCACAGACAGACAGACAGAGAGAGGGAGACAGACAGACAGACAGACACATTTGCTTGCCACTTCCGAAGGATGTTGCTCCTTGCAGCAGCAACACCAGCACCAACAACAGCAAAGTATTTGCCAGGACAAGTATTTACGTTCCTCTGCTGCTGCTGTTGTTGCTGCTGCTGCGGCTCCTTCTTCTGCAGAACTTTAGAAATGCATAAAAATACGAGAATTTATGTAGATGGATATGTGTGTGTAATTTTTTTGTGCATTTTAATGCATTGGAAAATGCTGCCACGCAGATATGTAAGCCCATATATTGAGCAATAAAGGAAGCTTCCTGCAGGTGCAGTTGCAGGAAGTAAATTTGAATATCATTGAGGGGTTGTATAGCACAAAGAGGCAGAAGACCACCCCAATGATTATCAATAAGTGCGGAAAAAAGGTGAACATGCAATGCTTTTCATGCAAATAAATACAGGAAAACCTCAAGCATTCATTGAGAGGCACAGGGCACTGTGCCTTCAACGACGCGTCGTCTTGGACATTGATTGCCTTTCCCAAGAGCAAAACCAAAACCGAAACCTTTTGTCTCATCAAGAGAGTTAGTTAAGTTGGAGGAGTCGCGACTTGCATTGGCCTCTTGCATATTCATGTATTCCGACAACGAAAAATTGATGGCAACAGCTGCCTTAACTCTAAGACTGCAATGGCACAGACAGCAGCTCCATGCTAACTCCGTGCTATCCCTGGAAGCGGAGCTGGAGCAGGAGGTCCTCGACGACGTCGTTGGAAGCACTCAACTGTAGCCGCGTTGATTTGCAGGCAACCCCGAGTCCTTCGCCACAGCAATCCCCAATGGTTCGTTTGTTCTGGCTGCCGTTTTGCATGAATATGCATGAGCAGTTGAGCAGTTACAAGCCATCAAAACATGCCACACACTCTGAACACTCGCAACACTCGCTGCAGGAATGAATAGGGGGAAAAATGAAGGAATGGAAAGGAAATCCCTGCCATACCCAAAGTAAGCGGGACCAGAGCGAGAGCGAGCGAGAGCTTTAAGGCTAAAGAGATGCCCCAGCGTTTGGCATTCGCTTGCCATATGAAATTTAACCGAGTGACTAACGAGTATATCGTTAGAAGCGCGATCCAGCCAACCCTTCCATCAGCACAAGAACCAGCACCAGCACCAGCGGCATTGGCAATGCCACCACCGACAACATGGCGAATACTTGATGTCCGCTTCTGTTGTTTGACGTGTTGCGTTTAATTGGAACACTCCACGACGTCGACGAGCGACGAGCTACGAGCAACGATAGCGTCGACGATGGAAGGGCCAGTGTGGAGTCTCTGTGCCTTTTGATGTTGCAACCTCCCCTCCCATGGCCCATCTGATGTGGCATTAATTCATGAAGCTTCAGCTTCAAAGCTGCAGCACAAGCAACACATATTCATTTAGTTGTTTTTTCCATCTCACCTTTTTTCGCACACACACACAAAAGGATATGCTTCCCAGTGTTAGTTAGCGCCCAGACGCGTATGCAGTTTGGCTATCCTTTTTTTTTAGCCACCATCATTAAGGCGTGTGGCAGGGAAGCGGCTCGCTGGCCTGAGCGAAAGCACTTTATTAAAATCTAAAGTTCATTGCAGAGTTTCGGTGGGCGTTGGCAGAGAAAAAGAGAAGTCGCGTAGGAGCGGATATGAAGTTCATTAAATAG